CCCGCTCGTGTGCGCGCGCAGCAACTGCCGCCGCGCCGCGCCGCCCCGCGCCCCGCGCACCGACTGGCCCCGCGTGCTGCAGGCCACCTGCGTCGCCGCCGCGGCCACCATCGCCGCGCAGGTCGCCGCGGCCCCGCTGGACGTGGCCGCGCGCGCGGCGAAGGCGTCGCGCGCCGCCCCGCCCGCCGGCCTGCTGCGCGCCGTGCGCGCCGGCGGATGGCCCGCCGCCTTCCGCGGCCTCCCGCTCCACTGCATGAAGCGCCTCCCCACCAAGGCCCTCACCGTCGCCCTGTTCGAGCTCGCGTCGCAGGCTCTCGCGCGCAGCGGCGCCGGCCTGACGCCGGCGCGACACGTCGCCGTGGCTGCGTCGTCCGGCGCCGCGGCCCTGGTCGCTACCTACCCCGCCCACTTCGCGTACTACGCCCTGCGTAAGGACGTCGCTGCCGTGAAGGTCCTCCAGTTCGCAAGGGCCCGCCCCGACCTCCTGTACTCCGGCGCCGTGCCCGCGCTGGTCGCTACTGCACCCGCTGTTCTCGTCGATTACTTCTTGTACAGGCGGTGGAGAGGCCAGATCGACGAGAGCGCCGCGGAGGGACGCATGTCGCGCGCTCGCACCGCCGCTGCTATCGTGGTCGCTGCCGCCGCCGCAAACTTGACCGGCGGCTTCTGTTCGGAACCTTTCAAGGCGCTCAGCCGGAAGATGGCCGTGGAGTCGGTCAAGAACGCCCCCGGGCGGAGTCTGACGCATACTGCGCGCTCCATGATGCAGACGGGCGTCGGCGAGTTTTGGCGCGGCTTTCCCAGCCGCAGTATGCGCTATGTTGTCTCGGCTATTGTTTCCAAGGCCACCGTGCAGCAGTTGCGCAGACTTCAGAGGCCTGGGAACGAGGAGAATGCGTATCTTCAAGGCCCGCACGTCAGCTTGATTCCGGCCGGACGCCCTATTGGCCCGGGCTTCTATCAGGGGCGCTCACGACAGTACAATGCCTCGACAATTGTCGACCCGAGGTACCATCACTGTTAACAATAACAATTTGTAATAATACTCACTCGTTTACTTTCTTGACTCTTACTTTATTAAACTAACTTCATGGTCTGCCCACAACATTCTGAGCAATTCCGAGTCACTAGTCTGGGATAGATTTTGAATCGGTCAGTCTACGCTGAACAAATCACACTTAACTTGAATCTTCTCTCCAACTCTTTTGCCACTCTTGTCCACATTGAACATCTTTTCAAAAGGCATTTCGAAGCTGCTGTGTACAAGCTTACAATTTTTACAAAAGTGGCAGCCATGATTCGATGTCTACAGGAGTTCAAGGGTAATATTGCGTTCTCTCCTGTGAGCAAGTGCACATGTGCGGGTAACCGAGTCAAATGTACAGGCATGGAAGGAAAGATCGTAAGTCATTGCAATGAGATTCACCCCGCAGGAGAATGGCTGATCTTGAAGTTTGCGGCCCTCCGTGTCTCGCATGGCAAGTCAACCGTCACGAATTGACGAATAGATGGGCTCCAAAATCTAGGACACGACCCCGATTCTGAATATATTGATATGATTGGTTGATAGCCGTGGGCCGCACATGTTTTAACGAGAAAATAGTCCCTAATGTTGATGACATACGCCTCCAAAAAATGACCACATGTTACACGGTTACAATTGGGCTGTGAGTTTGTGGGCCATCGACTACTTTCTGCTCACCCACAGACGACAAGCGATTTGCCTCATATGACGGCAGCCGAGGCCAGCTTTTTTCGCAAAAATGTATAAATTAAATTGAAACTTTTCAAAGTCAGTTTGGACACCATTTCTTTAACGTACATGCCCTCGGCTATAACATCTTGCAAAACATTTGGAGAGCAGTTGTGAATACAAAGAAAAACTAAGAATCCAATGAAGTTTCAACTGTTGGTTGATGTTTTAAACAGGCCTTTTGGTTTCGTAGATATCAACACGAACGTTTTGAGGTTGGTCAAACAGGCTTCTTTTTTAGGCATTCTAAAAATGGCTGGAAAAGACGTCCAGATCTCACCAAACTCCATCCTTCCATAACGCAGAAGTCAACTGCTATGGCGATAGTATCTTTTTCCTTCTTGTTAAGCAAGCACAAGTCGAGAAAAAATGAGTTGAAAAGTAGCCTCTTACGAGGCCAAATGGCCTCATCTAAGGTCACTTGTCGTCTCTGGACATTAGCGAAACTCGTACTGCGAACGACCGACAAACTACTGCGTTCATCATCGTTTTTCCGAAGCTCTTTGAGACTTAGGAGCGACAAACACAAGATTTTTGGAGAATCTGAGCATCAGTTGTCTACATGAAGAATGCAAATGTCGTCCAGTCGGTTGTACCGAGCCGTGTGTAAACTCCCCTCTATAGCGCAAGCCGAGAGGAGCCGCAAACGATGCTCAGACGCATTTGTTGGTCATCCCTGTAAAAAAAAACTTCAAAATACTTACTTTCACTGGTTCCTAAGGTGCGCCTCCGCGTTGATGTATTGGATACGTCGCTCAACTCTGCTGCACTGGCCAGAGCTCCAGGAATATAAACATTCCCAGCATGACTTCAGAAAATCTGACATCTTTATCCCAATAGAACAAACAACTATCACACCTCCTGCCTTCAGTATTGGTAACCAGTCCTACACACTACTGCATTGTCAGTCTCCTGTAGCACGACTTTTCAGACAAACAACTGATCCAGGTGACCTACACGAGACTGTAGTGTCGATTGGAGATCCAGAAAGAATCTTTGGTATCTTTAACATTTTTTTGGGAATCATTCCGTCGGATGTGACTTGCTGTTATTGACGTTTTGGGGGCATCCTTTGACAGAGCTTTAGACCGTCTTCAGCAGGTAGGAATAAATGCATGACCATCTCTAAATTCTTCATCTTCGGGAGCACCGAGAAGTCCAAACCTGCAACTAATCATGTCCGTAGAGCATGATGCCGTTCATGGTGAACACGTTACAGAAAAACAGCCGAATGTCCCAACAACCCATTACAAATATCGGATCCAAAAAGAACCGCTGAGGTGATTGCTTTGAAGAAATTGGTATAAGAACTATCCATAGATCAGCCTTCCATCGTACGAATTCTATGCCTATCAACCATTTCATGAGTGCAGAAGCTTTCGACCAAGACGGAGTATGGGGAATTTGCGCACAACGTTTTGCATCAGCAGGCAGAAAGGACATGCTCTTTAGCAACCTCAAATAAAAATCCCTAAAAACGTGTTGTGTCCATATGAAATTATCCAAGTGGCAGAATCCTGGCAATTCTGATTTTTCGCAGATGGCCCAGATTGATCAATCTGGAAAAACTGATCAGTATGGGAAGCTTGATCATCCTCTCATTTTCGGTAGCTTGAGCCTCAAAAGCTCACCTTGTGATTTGGGGATACCCTTCTTCGACATGCAAACGCTTCGGTGAATGCCTCAAGTTGGCCGCCGAAGACACTACGAAACTATGGCATTTCTCACGTACCTCCCAGTTCAGAATGGGCACGCGGAATTGGCCGGTGGGAGAGCGATTCTCAGGACTTCTCACTCGCGCCACATCGCGAAGAGGAGCAGAAAAGCAAGAATTGACGCAAAATTCCAATGGGATGACAACTCGGGTAATAACGATAACAAGAAACGCAACACACCCATTTCCCGGAGGCAAGCAATGCAGTTGCTAAACGGTGTCCTTGGCACTATGACAGTTGGCTTGCTTTTCAAAATGCGAGAGCAGTATCGGTTGATTTCACTTCAGACTATCCTAGCGTCGATAGGCCTAGGCCGCCTTCCAGCTCGCTCAGCAGTTCCAGCTGCCATGGCAGCAATCAACCAAGAAGACAGGGAGCGATTCCAGGATGCTTTGAAGTACGTTGCAAAGGTAGACAAGCAGGCATTTGTTGAATGCCCTGACTTTGCAAAGGGCTCTGATTGGATAAACAGCCGCCCGCTGAGCTTGAATAATGAGTTGAAAGAAAAAGTTGTACTACTGGACTTTTTCACTTACTGCTGCATTAACTGCCAGCATGTGCTCCCAAAGCTAAGACAGCTCGAAATAAAGTATGGAGAGGATGGTTCTGGAGGTGTTGTCGTTGTCGGTGTACATTCAGCGAAATTCTCGGCGGAACGGGAAACGAAAAATATCGCAGCTGCCGTTGAACGGTATGACGTGAAGCACCCAGTGATAAATGACGAGAAAATGGAGCTTTGGAATGCGATTGGAGTTAGCTCATGGCCAACGCTTGTCCTTCTTGGGCCGAAAGGCAATTTGCTCGCGGTATGGTCTGGCGAGAGACAAGAACAGGATGTCGACATGATTATTGCAGCAGCATTAGAGTACTACACAGATGATGTTGACCACCGTCCGTTGCCAGCGGCTCCGAAACGTGACTCTGCTCTCAGAAATCTGGCAGATTCTCCGTTTAGGTACCCAGGGAAGTTGGCATTTTCAGAAGACGGAAAGTCCCTCTTCGTTTCTGACACTGGGAACAATAGAATAGTCCAGTCGGACTCCATCACCAGCAAAGTAGTCAAGATTTTTGGGAACGGAGATTCAAAGCTGGCAGACTCCTCTGATCCTGCGACCGCGTCTTTCCATGCTCCGCAAGGCATTGTTGAACATAATGGAGTATTGTATGTTGCGGACAATGAATCACACGCCGTACGCGCGATCGATATTGCCTCTGGGAAGGTTCAGACTATTGGAGGAAACGGTGAGCAAGGATTTGACTATAGCGCCGGACGTGTGGGAAAAGCACAGCAGCTTTCTTCACCCTGGGATGTGGAAGTTGTGAATGGCACTCTCTACGTTGCAATGGCTGGGACACACCAGATTTGGAGTCTCGCACTTCCGCCGAAAGGAACGTTTGGTCCATATCTCAACCCGTGGACTGTTTTCTCCGGTTCAGGTCGTGAACTGGAGAAGAATGCCTTGTCGGGGAGACAGGCAGGTTGGGCGCAACCTAGTCATTTGAGCGCGGCAGAAGACGGGCTGATGTTCGTCGCCGATAGTGAGTCTAGTTCTGTGAGAGCTATCGACACGACAGCAGGTAGCCATCCTACGAAAACATTGGCTGGTGGGGATGGTCTCCTTGCTGAAAACCTCTTCGCTTTTGGGGACAAAGAAGGGCGTGGAGCCCGAGCACGTTTCCAACATCCACTAGCAGTATGTTTTGACGACAAGCGTAAAGCTCTGTACGTCGCTGACTCTTACAATCATCGTATCAAGGTCATCGAAGAAAATGGAGAAGCGAAGAACTTCTGCGGAAAGGGAACTCCAGGATATCGAGATGGGGCCGCAAGCGAGGCAATGTTCTGGGAACCTGCTGGTCTTGCCTTATCTCCTGATGGATCACACCTGTATGTTGCCGACACGAACAACTTTGCCATTCGTGCAATTGATTTGAACACTAAGAAAACGTCGACTATTAACATTGCCGTGGCACCGCCGAGTGCATCTACTCAGGCAGATGACAAGCCTCTAATTGTCAACAGACGTCGAGCCGTGAAAATTCCGTGCGGACCCGTTAATCGGACAGGGCAGGTCAGTTTTGTCATTAATTTGCCCGAAAAGTCGCACTTCACCCCTGGCACTTCAAGCCGTTTTCAGCTCAACCTGATTGGGACAGTACCAGAAGCAGGTCAATCATCTACCCAAATGACCAAATTGTCGAGTGGAGCGATGGCGCTAAAAGGGCAATCAGGCAGATTTGACATCGATCTTTCACCGTTTTCACGAAAGCTCAAATCTGTAGAGAGTTTGGAAGTTGAATCTGTCACATATTATTGTACAGAAGAAGATGACGTGTGCAGGGTGGAGTCAGACGTTTTCACTGTCCAACTTGACTCAGTCTCTACTGGCTCAGATCCAATTGTACACACGATTGTCCCGAGAATCATTCAGCAGCCATCCTTCAACAAAACTGCTTAGAACAGCCCGTGAACACAGGAAGCCTTTTGATATATGTACTGTACATAAAACAAACAATGGATATGGAAGAAGTAATTTGTTTATGTGATCCGGGAGCACAATAAGGCCCCCAGAGCATTCTCAAAAAGCTCTCTATGCACATGACTACCCTCAAGTCGTACCAAGCGCAAATATATGTAAGATATCTTTGGGTTAGCGTATTTAGACCTGCTCTACAGAAGAAAAAAAGGGTAAGAAACCACCCAGAAAAGGCCCTGCAAGCCGCCTAGAATGCTTTGACAACACCCACGTCGAAATACAATGTTGAATTTCGTGGAATACCAGGCGGACTCTGGTTGCCGTAACCCAAATGCGGCGGGATAATAAGATGCCGCTCGCCACCTTCCCGCATTCCTGTGACGCCGATGTCAAAACCTTTCACGCACTCGCCGATTCCTAATCGAAACTTAAATGGTCGTTTCCGATCCGCCTTGTCGATAAGCTTGCCGTTCTCGAGCCGTAAAGTGTAATGGAGAGCAACATTATGGCCTCTGACGACTTTCTTCCCACTGCCGATGATCATGTCCTGGAACTTAACGCCGCTCTTGTGAGTCACTATGGGCAAACCATTTGACTTCCCTCTGACTACAACTTTGCCTTTCTCCTTGTCAGATGAAGCGCCATTTGCGCCACGCCGGGCCGCCCTTGAACCCATTTGATTACCTCCAGACACGCCGTCCTCCTCGTCTGAATCCTCATCCTCATCGCTTTCGTCGCTGTGACCGTCATCGTCGGAGTCGTCATCATCGGCGTCCGCAAAGACGACGTTGCCGTCGTTCAACATCCTGGCGACATTTGCCAAATTTGCTATCTCCATACTGTCCTCGTGGGCCATCTCCTCGTCGTCAGAGTATGGTACCATCTCGTTGCCGACAACGTCGACGACGGCGCCGGCGCTATCGCCCGCAAGGCGCAGGCCCATTCTGGAGTTGATGAGAATGTCCAGGCGTACATTTTCGGCAGTGTTGTTTCGCAAGACGCCCATCGCTATCGAAAGGGAGTTGCCGCCAGAGTCATTGGAGTCCTCGGCGTCTTCATCGCAGATTTGCAGTACAATTCGACCGTTTCTTTTCCTGCCCGGGATGGTTAAGCATGCCTATTGAGAGGTAAACACAAAAACACTAGTTAGAATTTGGACATGTTTCAGTGAAAGCTATGAACAAAGCCGCGGCTTGAATCGTTTGATCGGATGGCGAAGGAATTGGTGGTGACTTACATTTGTGAGGTGGATTGTTTCCTCTTCAGAACCGTCCAGCCAGGTTATCTTTGAGTCGGTTACTTGGGCCCCATAGAACACCATGGCAGGGTATGGATGGAAAGTGCAGAAGAAAGGATTGGCGGGGGAAGAAAAGTTGGTTGTTAGTTTAAAGAGGTGAGATGGAGGCGGGCGGTGTGGTTTAGGAGTAAGAGACGTTGACGTTTCACAGGCGCCGCCGGAGGCCGGTGGAGATGGAATGACGTGGGATTTCCATACGCTTTGCACAAACTGTGCATCGTACAGTACAGATGCCTCCGGATCAAAAACATTACAGTCGCATCTGTAATGCAGGTACAGGTAAGTCGAAAAGGCCATCCACTTGGAATCCTGAACACTGAGGGCCGGTTCAGTGTTCAGAGTGAAGGCTGCTGGCAGCCTGCTGGCACCAGCAGCCTTCACCACTCTGCACTGGACACATCAACTGCGCCACTTCTGCAAATATTTATGATGTCATCGGCAAACGTCATATAAATGGTGTTACCTCCTGGCACAGCGTCTGTTTTGGCTCAACTCTCTTCATTGAGAGCATTCAATCACCTCGCCTGCATCCTTCTGGGCATACGGAATACAGAGTATTGCTGTACTTCTGGGAAGGTGGTGAAGCACTGCCCTTGGCATAAAAACACAAGTCTACCCCCGGTCTTTGGCCCTGATCCAACCTCCTCCCCGATCTAAAAATCTGGTCACCAGACTAAGAAGAGCCACCATCATCCAAATCGAAATGCTTCCGTTTCACCTCGTAATCCCACTTGTCCTCGCGTCGCTCTGGGGTGTATCCTCAGCTTTGTTCTACAGAGATATCACATCCGACAATTTCGACAAACTAATCGATTCGTCGCAGGCCGCCATCATGCTCGAATTCTACGCACCATGGTGCGGACATGTACGTTTTCCAATTTGAATCTTGCAAACCCCCTGCTATCCTGTTTATTAATCCGTATCCATGACCACTGTTGTAATGCTTACTGACGACGTTCTGTTTATCCACTTGACACACACATACGCAGTGCAAGGCCCTTGCTCCCGAGTACGAGCGCCTGGGCACGACGTTTGCGACATCGAAAGATATCATCATTGCTCAGGTCGATGCCGACAAGAATAAGGATCTCGGCGAGCGGTTCGGCATTTCTGGGTTTCCGTCTCTAAAGTGGGTAGCGAAGGGCGGGGATGTCGACAAGCCTGAGGATGTCACGGCTGGGCGTACAGCTGATGAGCTGCTCAAGTTTGTGAATGAAAAGATGGGAACTTCGAAGAAACTCTTGGAACCGCGATCCAGCGTCACCGTCGTGACGGGTGATAACTTCAAGGATATCGTCATGGCTAAGGATAAGGTCGCGCTTGTCGGCTTTTTCGCACCTTGGTAAGTTGCATTGGGCTTTTTTTTCATTTTTTTGAGTACACGAACAGTGTTTGTTGCGATGCGAGTCGCAGCTGATTTTTCTAACGCTGCGTTTCCAACGGGCTATGTCGCGATCCGATTACAGGTGTGGTCATGTAAGTTGAACTCGCCCCTAGAAATCTACGCCCGTGTCCCCTCGAGAAATGCAGAAACACACACGAGCAGTGCGGCATTGTCAGCCGCTTTGACTGGAAATCGAACTGACTGTCTGGTACCGTACTTGTCCTTTTCAAATTTGTGCGAGCAGTGCAAGGCCTTGAAGCCAACCTGGGAACAGCTCGCAACCCTGTACGCGGATGAGAAAGATGTGGTCATCGGGTCAGTGGATTGCGATGAAGAAGGGGATCTGGCCGCTGCAAACGACGTGCAAGGTTTTCCACACATTAAAATTTTCGGGCGCGACGCGGAAGAAGGGGAGGATTACAACGAAGCGGGTCGTTCGCTTGACGAGTTCGTGAAGTTCGTGAACGAGAAGGCCGGGCTGGACATCACAACGGACGGGGGGGTATCGCCGACCGGCGGAGTCGTTGCGGAGATCGCAGAGCACATCAAGTCGTTCGTGGCCGCGTCCTCGGATGACGAGCGCAAGAAGGTGACGGACACTTGCCACGCGGCGGTAGAGAAACTGGACGAGACGGCAAAGAAAAATTTCAAGTATTATGTGAAGGTGTTCAAGAAAATTGCAGACCAGGGCGTGGAGTTCGCATCTATGGAGAAAGCGCGTCTGTTGAAGATGCTTGAAAGCCCTGATAACCTGAAGGCGTCCCAGAAACGAAACTTCATGCGGCGAGTTAATGTGTTGAGCGCGTTCGACGAACTGTAAAGAGGCGCTTAATTCTCGTGCAGTAATCTATAAGCAATATACTTAATCCTTTTGCACGGGAATTTGGGCGGTTGAGCGAGAAAGAGAGCGCTTATCAAAGAGTGCTCGAATGATGTGCTCGACATCGACGCGGCGCAGGGAGTGCTTTTGTAAGCGTGTTTGTTAGTTTAGATTTTTAAGCATCTTTTCATCACAGATCAAAACGAAACCGCAGCCAAGAACGGCTGTGCTCGTTGACAGTGATGACAAACAGTCTTGCGAGAGTCGTCCAGCTGATTGAAGACCGATGTAAAAAAGTGACATTTCGTCAATAGTTGTGCCCAATAAGGGAACGAGGAAGCGATGCACAGGAATTGGGAGCGCGGAGCGCGATGACAGAGGGGGGCCGTGTGTCGAAGCGTTGATTTATTCTTCCGACCAGCTTTCCTAAATGTTTCAACGAGAGTTGAAAGCGAACTCGGCGAACGGACACGAACGATATCCTACGGGGGGGATGGCTAGTGTGCTCTCAACCACTTGCTGAAACCGCGCGAGAAAGCGGAAGGCCGGGAGCCTAACCGAAGCGAGAGAGAAAAAAAGCTTTGAATATTATAAATTAGTGGCAGAAGATGCCGGCAGTTCCATGGGGAGGGGGGGCATCTAGACTTGGAGCGGGATGGAAAGAAACAAGAAGGGCAGAAAAAGCAGTCGACGAAAAAGACGACGCGAAGTGGCGTCGCAGGTGCAGGCTTTGGCGGGACGACGACGACAATAACGCTGCAAGACCGGGAAGCACGTGCGGACATCAACGAGGAAAGAGGTAGACAGATCAAGCCTCCTGCTTGTCATCGGCATCGGCTTGATCGTACTCCTCCTCCTCCTCCTTCGAGGCGAACATGGGCGAGAGGAAGGCGAGGATGGCTGCCAGGACGGCGAGCGGCCAGGAGACGATGAGAAGGATGAAGGACCATCCAATGGAGGCGATTTCATCTATCGGGCGAAAGATGTTGTCGTAAAAGACGGCAAAGCCGATCATGACGAAGAGGCCGCCCAGGAAGGTGGCCAAGGCGCCCGTGGACACAAGGTTGGAGGCGCCGACAAAGACGCAGACGACGGTGATGGCGGCGCCCGCGATGAGAAAGAGGGTTCCGATGATGACCATTGCCCTCGTAGCCTGGTAAGAAGCGCAGCTGGTGACGGGCTTCACGCGAGCGTCTTCGCAGGCGTTGTTGTCCTCCTGTCCATTTCTGATCCAGCAGATGTTAGAATAGCACGAGGCGCCAATGTAGCCGCAGGAAATCTTTTTGAAGGTGGTCTCATTGTGGCAGCCGATCCACAGGCCGAAGTAATCGAGCTTGTACTGCAGGGTGAGGCCGGTGAAGTCGGAGTTTGTCTGGATGGGGTTTAGCGGTTGGACGACCTCCGTCTCGTCGAAGCGGACCCAGTAGTTGCTGGCCATGGCGATGGCCAGCAGGACGAGGGAGGCGAATCTCAGCACAGCGGCCACGATGTTGAGGGGGCCTTTCACCATCGCAGAGAGTTTGCGGGCGGCTAAGGGGGGGAGGAACGGCGGA